ATAGTTGTTATTAATGTCTCCCAAAAAAATAGCACAAGTTCTTTGCCATGTTTCATTATCTTCCCATAATTCCATATATTATGGGAACATATATAGTTCATCAGCAGTGAAAGGCACTATATTTTCTGCTGGGTCTATGCCTGCTAGTTGACGAAGTCTTAGCTTGACTTTTATAATTAACTGAGACTTTTTCCACATAAGTTTTCAGTTTCTTACTTGTTTTCTGTGGTAAAAAAGATCCATTCCAAGATAATATCATCTCTCTGCATTAAAATTCCTGTAGGAGAAATTTTTGATGGTAGTATGACGAGAATACAATCAAGCTCTGGATTCACCCTGTCCACATGTGCCTGTTGTAATTTTTCCTCAATCATTATCAGTTCCTTTTCTGCTTCAGCTGTTAATTCTCTGGGACTGTTTAAATCTTTATCAACATCCAAGGTTTTGTTCAAATGAATTATTAGATCAGGTGTCCCAATAGCTGGTTGTAGACTGGAAATGTCTCCTAACAGTCTTTGAAAGTCATTAAGAGTCTGTAGGCAATCTCTCCTAATTTGTGCCTTTTGTGTCTTAATTTTTTGCAAACATATTTTATAACCTAAATAATTAACAGAATCTCCCTTCTGAATCTTTTCAGGAGCAATTTGCAATCCCCATTTAGGTAAAAGTATCTTTATTTCTTCAAACAGTCTGTTCAAGGTATCCATGTTTGAATCGGATAACAAGATGTCGTCCATGTAGTGGAATATTATAGATTCAGGAAACTTCTTGCGTACTATTTGCAATGGTTGGTTCACAAAATATTGGCACAAGGAGGGGCTATTTAACATACCCTGGGGGAGGACGGCCCAGTGGTATCTCTTGGAAGGTTGAGAATTGTTGTAAGTAGGCACCGTGAAGGCAAATTTTTCTCTATCTTCTTTTTGTAAAGGTATGGTGAAAAAACAATCCTTTAAATCAATAACTATAAGAGGCCATCCTTTTGGTAATAAAGAGGGCAAAGGGATTCCAGATTGCAGAGGACCCATAGGTTGAATAACTTTGTTGATAGCTCTGAGATCTGTCACCATTCTCCATTTACCTGATTTTTTCTTAACCACAAATACAGGAGAATTCCAAGGACTGGTAGATTCCTCTATATGTCCAGCATCTAATTGCTCTTGTACCAGCTGTTCTAAAGCCTGTAACTTTTCCTCAGCTAGAGGCCATTGTTTTGTCCATATTGGTTTCTCAGTCAACCATTTTAGAGGCAATGCTGTTGGTATCTCTGAAGGAGTTTCAATTGTTTGTTCTTGTACGGCCCGAATGGCCGGTTTTCTCCGTTTGTAATATCTTTTAATATTATTCTCAGAAATATAGGCTCTAGAATTAGCAGGAATGTTAATTTGGGTATTCCATTGTTGTAATAGGTCACGACCCCATAAATTCATTGCAATACTGGCTACATATGGCCTTAATTTCCCTATTTGTCCCTCAGGCCCTATACATTCAACCCATCTCGTGCTCTGTCTTACTCGAGATAGGGTTCCAATTCCCAGGAACTGAACATTTACATTCTGAAGAGGCCAATATGGATGCCAAGATTCTGGGGTAATGATACTTACATCAGCACCTGTGTCCAGCAGGCCAGTAATAAAAATGCCATTTACACACACTCTCAGCTTAGGTCTTTGATCATTTATAGAAGTTTGCCAAAACACACGTAACTCATCTTTCTGCTCATTATCGTTTGTAACAGTAGGCATGAGGTTTCCTAATTGTCCTGACGAGGCACGTTCTCTGCAGAAACTGGAAATGACTGAACCATGTTTGCCATGGGGGCCTGTGAGGCCCCCCCTCTCACGTTTCCTGTCTGTATCAGGTTGCCTTGTCTATCTCTTGTAGACCTGCATTCATTTGTCCAATGTCTACCTTTTCCACATCTTCTACATAAACCCGAAGGCTGAGTCCTCCTATTTCTGTTATTTCTAGAAGATGCATTATTATTATTTCTGAAAATTCATCGTCTATAATTCCTTTTCATATGACCCATTTTGCCACAATTAAAACATTTGGTATTCTGGTGTCTCCTTTTACCATTGGAAATTGCTTCTTCTACCCATGCTTCAGTGCCATAATCAAATTTATCAACATTCAGTGTATGCAAGACCCATTCTTCCAAGGGCAATGATCTGAGCTTTAAAGGCCCCAAAATCCTTTTGCATTCCACAATTGGATTTTCATAAGCCGAAGACTCAATCATTATACGTCTTGCTTCTGGGTCAGATATCCCTATTTGTACAGCCTTAGTTAGTCTTTGTAAAAAGTCACTAAAGGGTTCTCGCTGACCCTGTTTAACTGTGACAAATGATTCCATTCTCTGTCCTGGGTCTTGTACCCTTTCCCAAGCCCTTAAGGCTGCTTAGTACACATGGAGAGTGTGTTTTCATCCAGATTAGCTTGTTTCTGAGGGCTAGAAAAGAGCCCTTCACCTAGAATTTTATCTAGTGAAATGTCAATTCCCTTTGCTTTTTCCTGCTGTTCTAAAAGTCTAGCCTCTTGCCTGAATAAGCATTTTCATTTCAATTGTGGTCCACTCTCAAGTACCACAGAGCTCAGCTGGAGCCAGTCCGAGGGGCTTGATCTGCTTGTCGTGGCCCAAGATTTTAGCATCTCTTTAACAAAAGAGGCATGCATCCCAAAAGTCATGACAGCCTGTTTAATTTCTTTAAGATCATTCATATGGACAGGCTCCCATGTATCTTCCTTGATGACCCTAGGGTTTCTGGAACCAATCACCTTCTCTGTTGTTATTACTGGAAAGGCAGGTAGAGTTGTAGGTAGAACTCTGTGGAAATTGTCCCGGAGAGATTTACCCACAGATGTAGTTAAAATTTGCTTTTCTACCCTTTGCTCTTCTTCATCAGAATTTAGAAATTCCTCAATCTTTTCAATTCTATTCACCATTGCCTTCTGCAATGTCTGAATCTCCTGTCCAGAATTATGATCCAAAGCCTTCACTGAGGATTCTAAAGTACGAAGTTTGTCCATTAGAGATAACATCTCATCTTTGGACATAATTTTTATGGCATAAACCGTGCCTTCTTGTATTGACAATCTTTCTGTCAATCTGTCATAAGCTTTAGACAAAATCCGATTGTCACATTCAGCAGTTTTGATTCTCTCAGTTAATGTTTCAGTTCCTACAGAAAGGGACTGAAGCTTACAATCCAAATCAGCTGTTCCCTCTTCTGTAGTAATGAATTTCTCCTTATTATCAGCCACTAATGTTTCAGTTCCTACAGAAAGGGACTGAAGTTTATGATCCAAATCAGCTGTTCCCTCCTCCATAGTAATGAATTTCTCCTTAACCTTTCAGCCTGTACCTTTTTTAAATTTTGCTTAGTTGATCGAGTCATGTTAAACAAAGATCTGTTCTCTTCCTGGAGAACTTCAAACCAATTCTTGAGAAGATTATTGTCATTCTCAATTGTTTTTAAGCGTGCAACCTCTGCTCATAAAGACTTTATCATATTTCTATTATCCAACCATATAGTGCCAAAAAAAACCTACGAATCCCAGAAAGATCCATAGATGTGGGGTGATAGACACCTCTTGTAAAATCTCTCACATGGTACAATTAAAAAAACTGTTAAATTCTTGAATGGTAACATGTTCAGACATTTTATTTATAAAAGAAAATTTTTTTACCTGCAATGACTGGTTCCTGCCAGTGGTGGTCTCTGTGGTTTTGGAGCCTGTCTTGGAACTAGCTCTTGTAGACCAGGTTGGCCTCAAACTCACAGAGATCCGCCTGTCTCTGCCTCCCGAGTGCTGGGATTAAAGGCATGCGCCACCACCACCTGGCCGGCCTCGAACTCACAGAGTTCCACCTGCCTCTGCCTTCCGAGTGCTGGGATTAAAGGCGTATGCCACCACCGCCTGGCTGGCCTCGAACTCCCAGAGATCTGCCTGCCTCTCTGGATATTATGGGCCTGAAGGCCGAGTGTATCTCAGACTCGGCACTAGGGCCAGAGTCACGAACTAAAAAAAACGGCACCCGGGAGCGTGCTGTCTTAGCTAGCGGGCTACACGCTTGAGTCGGGGGCAAAATAGCCCGACGTTGGACGCCAAAATGTAATGGCATAAACGAATGCAGACAGATTGTAAAAATATATACAGCTTTAATGGAAAAATAGACTTACAGAACCACCGTTCCCGTGGAGACCAGGAAAGCAGAAGAAGCGGCTCGGAGCATGCTCACCAAATTTATAGGCAAACATTAGCCTGAGGCGAACACACCCCCTAAGGGGTGGGACTTATCCCTACACACTAGTTCACTCAAATGTATGCTTTCAACCAGGGAGCATTATTGTCTTTTCAACAAGCTTCTGTCTATGTCTCTTATGATTAACACTGAGGACATGAACAACCTTTAGCTTTTTCTACAAATGGTAATCACTGTTTTCAACCTCAAACTAAGTCTGACTGAAGCCCATTTAGAGATACAGACTAGTGAGCTCTCGGTGTTAAATTCAGGCTTGGCACAGATGAGATCTGTTAGTGTGTAGGTAAAAGAAGAAAAAACAAATGACTGGGAGAAGTAGGGAGGGTTCCAGCTTTGTGGCCCTTCTGTGATGTTATTTCCTGAGTTACTATAAATGTAAATCTAAAAATATTTTCCCTAGATTACCAGAGGAAGCCAGCAGAGAAAATGATAGAAAATATAAAATACATTGATAATTGCCTTCCTTTGTCCAGACTGAGAATTCCACCAGGCTTTGCCCTTCCTCATTAACTGGTGGGGATCTTTGCTAAACTATGGAGACCAAAGAACAAAGGACACAACATAAGGACAATCCTGTGCAAAAAACAAACAAACAAACAACGAAACGAAGAGGATAAATAGTTAATGTCCGTGTCTGGGGACAGCTATCACCATGGAGTAGAGCAGGTTCTTAGTATGGCTGAAGCTCTGGTATTGATTCCAAGCACCACAACAAACAATGACAATGGGGATAATGTATATGAAGGTTCCTCACAATGTTATGTCAACAGTGGTGGCCATCATAATCACACCCTCGTCTATACGCTCCTTTGCAGCTAAACTGTCTCCTCCTGTGGTCTTGGGCCCTGCAGCCAGAGTTGCTCCTGGGCAGACAGTGAACTACACATGCAAGTCCCATGGCTTCTCCCCTCAGAACATCACATTGAAGTGGTTCAAAGACAGAAATGAGCTCTCTCACTTCCAAACTACTGTGGACCCCAAAGTAGAAAGCATCTCCTACAGTATCTCGGGCACAGCCCATGTGGTGCTGAGTGCTGGGGATATCCACTCTCAGATCACCTGTGAGGTGGCCCATGACACCTTGCGAGAAGGCCGGCTTTGTGGAACTGCCAAATTATCTGACATCATTTGAGGTAAATGACTCTGAAACAAGCTCAAGCTCTTATTCTTTCAGAATAGTTTGGTCCATAGTTCCCAGCAAGCATTCATGTATACCACACAGGATCATAGACTGTGACCATCACATAACAGAAACTGTACTTATTTTAACAGAAGTAATTTTGGTTCTACTGATTAGGAGCCACACACTGATTCCTGGCATTTTCATCCATTTTACTATTGTTATTGCTTTTTCAGTGCACCTTGGAGTTGTGCTAATTTACTTCACTTATTGTGATACCCTGTACACCTGTGTGATAGGAGCTATGTTTGGGGGCTCTCCTCTGGCACAAATAATCAACCTGTCCCCATGATGAACTTGCAATGAGAATGGTTTCTCCATACTTCAGATTCCCTTCTGGGGTCTTTCTCTACTTAGGCTTTGAAGTTTCAGCTTCTGATTGTATTTTTTCAGTTTCACCCACCCTGGAGATCAGTGAGCAGCCATCAATGGTACGGAATCTGATAGGTGTCACCAGCCAGGTGAATAAGTTCTATCCTTCGAAGCTTCGGTTGACCTGGATAGAGAATAAAAATATATCCCAGATAGAAGACCCTTCTACATTCACTGTAAACAAGGATGGAACCTACAGCTGGACCAGCTGGCAAGTAGTGAATGTATATGCCCATGAGGAGGACATAATACTCACTTGCCAAGTTGAGCATGATCAACAGCCACCGGAAATAAAAACTCATACTGTGATGGTCAGTGCACGTCAGAGGGAACAAGGTATTAGCACCATGTCTAGTAAGTTCTCTACCCAAACTTCTTGGCTGTTTGCTAATTTTTCCTCTTTTCAACTGTCAAAGGTAGCATTTTGGTTATTGTGTGATAATCCTAATATCTACAAACTAACTAGAAAGTTAAAGCAAGCTCTCATTGCCAACCTCCCATGGGTCTCATGCATCTCTTCATTTATGTGTTAACATTCACAGATATTAAATAAGTGGGACAGGAAGGTATCATCCTACCCTAGAATCCTACCTGTTGACTTTTTACCCTAACATTTGTTATATCATGTTCATCTTCTTCTTCCTTTTCAAGTATCCATTCCATTTTACTCTTTTCCATGAATATCTGGGTCCTCACTCAGTGTCCTAAGCTACCTCTTGAATGTAATTCCAACAGACCTCCTGAGGAGCTGCAGTTTTACTGTAGATTGGCAGCTCACTTGACTGTGAGTGATCATATCAGGGGCCACATTTCCTCCTGTTTTGTTATAATGGAAAAATATCTATGTATACAGACCAGAATCCATACATACTACATGAAGCTTTCAATTTTGCTGTCATCTCTTTCCCTTCATTAATTACCTAATGAGTCATCAGTTTTATAGACAGTGAATCTAGGGGTGGAGAAGCAATAGGGATGTTGAGTTTTTACCCTGAGACCATGTGATCTTGTCTACGTAATGAGGCCCCTGGAAGCATGGTCATCAAGAGCGCATAAGGCAAATTTTTCTAGTTAAGTATCTCTCATTGACTTGTTACTATCCTAGGACTTAGAGTTTGAGGACCCTTTATATAAGTATATCTTATTTCCCACTCATTAAACACCAGGAATGGCCATCAACTCACTTAACTTTTTAAAACATCAGGTTCCTTGTCATACAGCCTTTGTTGTGAGCTTTATCTGATGGATAAATGATACGTCAACCAAATAACCATTATACCACTTTTAGAACAATAAAGTCTAGAAAATACGAGCTCCCTTAGAGTAGGAAATATATAGATGATACATAATTATTCCTTCTGATGGATCTGTCATGTATGTTCATACACTTATGTTAAAATAGGAGCGGCAGGGCTGCATCCCCAGCACCCCTGCCGCCTGCTAGCTCATGCCCGAAATAACAACACACAAACTGTATTCATTTAAACACCGCTTGGCCCATTTCTATCCAGCCTCTTCTCAGCTAACTCTCGCACCTGGACTAGCCCATTTCTAGTAATGTGTGTAAGCACCCCAAGGTGCACTTACTGGGAAGATTCTAGCCTCCATCCATCCTGGGTTGGAGCTGCCTGGGAGAGCGGAGCCTGGTGTCTCTGCTCCAGAGAGCAGAGCTGTCAAGTCTACCTGGGAGAGCTGAGCATGGCATCTCTGCTCCAGAGAGCAGAGCTTTCCAGTCTCTCCAGGAGCAGAGCAGAGTCTGAGCTCACTTCCTCTTCTTCCCAGCATTCCATTCTGTTTACTCCTCCCACCTATGTTCTTACCAATAAAATGGGCCAAGCCAGTTTCTTAATTAGCCAATGTCCTTCCTCCATCATTTCCCCTTTTTCTGTTTAAACAAAAAAAGGAAGGCTTTAACTTAAAATAGCAAAGTTACATATAACAAAGCAGTTATCAAGTAAAAATTACAATAATCTATATCATAACTAAGGAAAACTATAACTATAGCTAACTATTCTTTAACGCCATCAAAGACTCCAGAAAGATATACTATTACCTAAGCAAACAAAAAATCCAAAACTCTAGAAATGACAGAGACATCTCTCTGCCTGGACAGTCACCCAAAGTTCCTCTGTACCTTTGGGGCATCCATCTTCGGCCTACAGGCCCATAGTTTCCAGCAGACATTTACACAAAGCAGGAAATTTCAAAGGCAGTCACTATCTGCTTGTCCTGAAGAATGTCTTGCAGACTCTTTCATAAATCAGGAACCCCGAAAGATCATCTCACCTTTAGGCAAGTTCAGCAGTCCTCTCTCTGCAGGTTCTCTGTGTCCAGTTTATGCAATAGTCCACGCAAGAGCAGTTTCTTGCCCAAATGGCTATCAAACTCCATAAGGATCCTCTTCGATGCCCATCTTCCTCTTGAAGTAGATTGGTGCTGCCAGGAGCAGTGTCTCATTGCCATGAAAAGTCCTAAGTTATTAGAACATTTAATAGCATATTCCGTAGTCTTTGAAAAATATGAAGAATGCTGATCTAACTGAAATATATATCTATATATCTAGAAAATCTAACTATCATGACTACAAACTTGACTACTATGATTATCTATTAACAACCTATATACATTACATTTTTAAGTGAACTACACAATCACAATACCTTAACAAGATCAGAAATACATATACATATAACAAAAT